ATGCCGCGCCATCATGGAGCCCCCACCTGAAAAAACACATAAGGAAACTAGAGAAGGTTCAGAGGTTTGCGACGAGGCTTGTCCCAGTGTTACGAGGGATGGGATATGAAGAAAGTCTGAGGGAACTGAACCTTACGACACTAGAGAAAAGAAGGGAGAGAGGAGATATGATAGGAACATATAAAATACTCAGGGGAATTGACAAAGTGGAAATAGATGAAATGTTCACACGTAATAATGACAGAACGAGGGGACATGGGTGGAAACTGGAAACTCAGATGAGTCACAGAGATGTTAGGAAGTTTTCTTTTTGCGTGAGAGTAGTGGAAAAATGGAATGCACTTGGGGAACAGGTTGTGAAAGCAAACTCTATTCATAATTTTAAAATTAGGTATGATAGGGAAATGGGACAGGAGTCATTGCTGTAAACAACCGATGGCTGGAAAGGCGGGATCCAAGAGCCAATGCTCGATCCTGCAAGCACAAATAGGTGAGTACAAATAGGTGAGTACACACACACACACACACACACACACACACACACACACACACACACACACACACACACACACACACACACACACACACACACACACACACACAAGGCGCCACAGAGACAAAAAGAGATTGATCAAGGTAGTATTCAAGAGCGAGGTCATCAAAGAGGACATCCTAGTAAAGAAGAGCAAACTAGGTATGCAAGGAATTACAAAGAGGTATATGTTCAGAGGGACATGACCAGAGATGAGATAATAAGGGCAGCAGAAGCAAGGAAAAGTGCAAGGAGAGGGAAGGGAGCCAGGAAACCTCAGCCTCCAACCCAGCAATCCCAGAGGGGAGTGGGGAACCCCAACCCAGCAACTAAGGAACCCCAGGGGGTGGAGGGGGGTGGGGAATGCAACACCCCAGCCCACCACCCAATAGCCCCCCCCCCCCTATCCACCAGCACAAACCCTTCCTTGCCCCTGCACAATGCCCATCATAAAACCCAAATCTTCCCTCTCCCTTTACCCCAAGTATCCCCTGCTTTCCCAGCCCCTGGTCATGTTCCTGCCCCAAACAGGACTAGGCGAGACCTAAGCCCCCATCCCCTACTCCACCTCCCCCCAAACCTCTGTCAACTACACCGCAGGAGGGCGTGCCCTCTCCCCAAGCAATCCCAGCCCCCTCACCCCCAGGACTTCTTTCTGCCCCAAGCTGGCCTGAGCAAAACCTAAGCCCTCCATCCCCCACTCCACCTCCCCCTGAACCCCTGGCAACTACCTCACAGGAGGAGTAGCCTACCCAAGTAGCAATGACCATGGAACAACTTCCTACACTCGTGGGGAGTGAGGGTGAAATTGGATATAAGAAAGTGAGCTTCAAGGTAATGTACTCAAACATTGATGGGATTACCAATAAAGCAAGTGAACTGCCAGAAAGGGCGCAAGAAGAAAACCCTGATGTAATAGGATTCACAGAAACAAAATTGTCAGGAGTCATAACAGATGCTTTGTTTCCAAAGGACTACTTTATAGTAAGGAAAGAGAGGGAAGGGAGAGGAGTTGGAGGAGTGGCCCTGCTGATAAGGAAGGACTGGAGTTTTGATGAGATGGAAATTCCGGACTGTGACGGGTTCAGAGATTACATAACTGGAACTATAACAATGAGTGGACCTAACATAAGTGTGGCAGTCATTTACAACCCTCCCCTAAAGGGCAGAAGACCCAGACAGGAGTTTGATAGGAACATTATGGCAACCAGTAATATAATAGAATGCCTGCAGGAATGGCTCCAGACTCTTAATCATGGGCGATTTCAACCATGGAAAGATAGACTGGGGACCCACATGGTGGTGCAGATACGTGGAGAGCTAAACTCTTGGAAGTGGCAACAAGGAACTTTCTGAGCCAGCATGTCAAGGAACCCACAAGAGTGAGAGGCAACGATGAACCAGCCTGACTCGACTTGATATTCACCCTGAATGAGTCAGAAATAAGGGAAGTCAAAGTTGAAGCCCCCATAGGAATGAGTGACCACAGTGTACTGACTTTTGAGTACTTAGTGGAGGTAGGGATAACCTATCCAAGGATGGGATCGTAGGCAAAAAGACTAAATTACCGATTAGGAAAATATGACGAGATCAGGAACTTCCTCAGGGAATACCAATAATACAGAACTTAAGAGACAAGAATGTGCAGGACATGATGGATTTTGTCACCCAGAAGTGCCAGGAAGCTGCAGACAGGTTTATCCCCGTCCAAAAGGAGAAAAACGAAAAACAACACAAAAAAAACCATGGTTCAACCAGAAATGCAAGGTAGCGAAGCAACAGAGTAAGCAACACTTGTGACGTCTCACCATTCTGAGACCTCATCCCTCACAGTGACTCGATGTCTTCTGTTGCTTAGGTACTCCCTCATCCAGTGGAGTACCTTCCTTTTTACTCCAGCCTTCATCTCCAGCTTATTCACTAGCCTCTTGTGTGGTACTGTATCAAAGGCTTTCCGGCAATCCAAAAATATGCAGTCTGCCCACTCCTCTCTTTTTTGCCTGTTTTTTGTTGCCTGGTCGTAGAATTGAATTAACCCTGTGTGTGTGTGTGTGTGTGTGTGTGTGTGTGTGTGTGTGTGTGTGTGTGTGTGTGTGTGTGTGTGTGTGTGTGTGTGTGTGTGTGTGTGTGTGTGTGTGTGTGTGTGTGTGTGTGTGTGTGTGTGTGTGTGTGTGTGTGTGTGTGTGTGTGTGTGTGTGTGTGTGTGTGTGTGTGTGTGTGTGTGTGAGAGTGTGTGTGTGTGGGTACTCGCCTATTTGTGCTTGCAGAAAGCTATTTACTGTTAGAAAACAGATGCATCAGGGTGAAAGAAACTCTGTCCATTTATTTCTGCTATCGACGGGAATTGATCCCCGGCCCTAGGATTACAAGTCCCCAGCGCTGTCCACTAAGCTGTCTGAGTACTCACCTATTTGTGCCTGCTGGATCGAGCATAGACTCTTGGATTGCGCCTTTCGAGCATCAGTTGTTTACAGCAATGACTCCGGTCCTATTTCCCTATTATATCTAGTTTTCAAATTTTGAATAGAGTTTGCTTCCACAACCTGTTCCATAAGTGCATTCCATTTTTCCACTATTCTCACACTAAAAGAAAACTTCCTAACATCTTTGTGATTCATCTGCTTTTCCAGCTTCCACCCATGTCCCATCGTTCTGTTACTATTCCGTGTTAACATTTCGTCTATTTTCACTCCGTCAATTCCCCTGAATATTTTATACGTTCCTTCCTATCATATCCAGCCTCTCCCTTCTTTTTTCAAGTGTAGTAAGGCTTAGCTCCTTCAGGCGCTCTTCATATCCCATCCCCTTGTAACTCTGGGACGAGCCTCGTTGCAAACTTCTCAACTTTTTCCAGTTTTCTTATGTGTTTCTACAGGTGGGTAGAGTATGCCATGATGGCGCGGCATATTCTAAGTCTGGTCTCACGTAGGCAGTGTAAAGCGCCCTAAATGCCTCCTTACTTAGGCTTTTGAATGATGTTCAACTTTTGCCAGTGTAGAGTACGCTGCTGTCGATATCCTATTTATATGTGCCTCAGGAGTTAGATTAGGTGTTACGTCCAAGCCCAGATTTCTTTCTCGAATCGTCACAGGTAGGCAGTTCCCCTTCATTGTGTACTGTCCCTTTAGTCTCCTGTCACCTAATCCCATTTCCAAATTTTAGATTTGCTGGTGTTGAGCTCCAGTATCCATTTCTCTGACCATCTCTGCAACCTGTTCAAATCTTCTTAGAGGATCCTACAGTCCTCATCTGTCACAACTCTTCTCATTAACTTTACATCATCCGCGAGCATCGACATGTAGGATTCTACTATTGTAAACATGTCATTAACGTATATTAGAAATAGAATTGGTTCCAGCACCGATCCTTGAGGTACTCCACTCGTTTCTATTCGCCAATCCGACTTCTCGCCCCTTACTGTTACTCTCTGGCTCCTTCCTGTTAGGTAGTTCCTAACCTATGTTAGGGCTTTTCCACTAACTCCCGCCTGCCTCTCAAGTTTTAATAGTAGTCTCATGTGCAGTATTCTCCATGCTCTTTTACTTTGCTGATTTGCTAGCCTACATCTCTGATTAAACCATGGGTTTAATCAGAGATGAGACCATCTGCATTTCGTTGTTTTCATTTTGGACTGGGACAAACTTGTTTGGTGCTTCCTTGCATTTCTGCATGATGTAGTCTATCATGTCTTGGGCTGTCTTTCCCATGAGCTTTGTTTCCCATGCTATATCTGTTAGGAATTTTCTTATCTCCTCATAGTTTCCGTTTCGGAATGCCAGCCTTTTGGTTTTCAATACCCCTCCTAGAGTTCAATAATCCTTTTTCAGCCAGATACTCAAACACAAGTGCACTGTGGTCGCTCATTCCTACAGGGACCTCAAAACTGATTTCCGTTATGTCGGAGTCGTTCAGAGTGAAGATAAGGTCGAGTCTCGCTGGTTCATTGTTTCCTCTCATCCTAGTGGGTTCCCTGACATGTTGGCTTAGAAGGTCCTCGTTGCCACCTTCACTAGTTTGGCTCTCCATGTATCCTCTCCTTCATGCGGTTCCTTGTTCTCCCAGTCTATCTTTCCGTGATTGAAGTCCCCCATGATGAGCAGATGGGATCTATTTCTATAGGCAGCACAGGCTGCCTTCTCAATTATAGTGTTAACTGCCATGATGTTGTTGTCATACTCTTACCTTGGTTTTCTGTCATTTGGTGGAGGGTTATATATCACTGCTACTACTTTTAGTCCTCCCATTGTCATGGTCCTGTTATGTAGTCTCTGAAGCCCTCGCAGCCTGGGATGACCATCTCCTTGAAACTCCATTCCATTCTCTTTAGTAGGGCCACTCCACCTCCTCCCCTTCCTTCTCTCTCTTTCCTTAATATAGTGTAACTCAGTCAAGGCCCAGGACGGCTAGAACCAGGCCAAGCTGAGACAGAAGAACAATGAGTGTCATCAACAAGTAACCGTACACTTACCAACAGCTTGGGAGGAATAGGGTCAGCCTGAAGGAGCTGGGTGATAGAGCCGGCATTGTTTGTGTATGCATGATGATTACCATGGTCACCCTGGTTATTGTGGGTGAGGTACCACACCTGACGGAGGGTGCCCGGGGGTAGGAGAGCTCTTGCAGAATCCACCTTCTCCAGGGCAGCCTCGTAAGTCAATACCCACTGTGCTCCACATTCCTTTATCGACCATGCCACTTCCTCTATAGGGGGGGAAAGCCATGCAGTCAGTTTACAGTACACACACGCGCACGCACGCACACACATACACACATTTGCTGAGATACTTAAAAAGAGTCCAGATGTAATGGCCACAGTGAGGGAGGCAGCCATGAAACCGTTACCTCACAGGAAGCGACAAGGTGCACTAGCCAACTGCTGGAGAGGAAACGATCAGTGGTAGTAGCAGGCACTGAAGAACAGGAAGGCTCCAGTAAGATGGAATGGATTAGTAAAAACAATGAGGCAGTGCATGGGATATACAGGGGTTGCAGATGAAAGTGGCTGGACCATGCATTGAGAAGGTTTTCAGGATAGGCTGGTACAACAAAGACAGAGATTGTCTGATAATGATAGTGTTTACAAACGAGCACGTAAAGGAAGCAATTCTAACAAGGGAGAGCCTCCTGTCCCATGTGGGAGGTAACAGGAAAGTATTCCTCCAGAGGAACATGAAGAGAGAGTAAAGGCAGCAGAAGCAAGGAGAAAACACACGGGGGAGAGGAGAGAACCAGGAAACCACAGACCCCAACTCAACAGCCCCGGAAGGAAGTGAGATAATCCCAAATACCAACCCCAGAGGAGAGGACCACACCCACATCTTCCTCCCCATAGAAATTTCCACCTACAATGAACCCTCCCTGCCCTCATTCCAAGGCTCAGTCAATCCTCCCTCCTCCCTCACCCCTTACCCTCCCTGTCCCCTTTCCCCCTCCCCCCTGTTTCCTCCCCTCTGTCACCCCATACCCTCACAATCCCCCCTCTCCCCTCACCCTGTTACCTTCTTGGTAATATTACCCCCCTCCTTCCTCACAAAATATCCTCCCAGTCTCCTCCCCCACCCCATACCTCCCTGTCTCCCTATTCCTTAACCCCCCCCCCTAGCCCCCAGCATCTGATAATACCCTGTTAACCATCTCACACGCTCTCTCCCCAACCACTGTTCTCCCTGCCGTCCCACCCCGGACTCCCCTGCATTCCCCAACCCATAAATCTCCCTCCTCCCTCCACCACATGTTCCCTCTGCTCCCCCATCCCTAAGTGACCTCCCACACCAGACCCTCTCAACCACACCACTCCAGATCATTCCAGCCCCCATATACCAAAGCCTCCAAACCCGCTCACACCCCAGGTTCCCCTTCCTAGCTCCCCCAAGACACCCATTGACCCCCCCTACTCCAAGGGAATCAACAGAAACTGAGAATGGATAGAAGAAAGTCAGCTTCAAGGTAATGTACTCAAACATAGACGGGATAACCAACAAGGCAAATGAACTTAGGGAAAGTGCACAAGAAGCAAACCCGGATGTAATTGGACTCACAGAAAGAAAACTCTAAGGAATAATAATGAATGCGGAGTTTCCCCAGGATTACACTGAAATAAGGAGAGAAAGGGAAGGAAGGGGAGGAGGTGGAGTGGCTCTACTGATGAGAAAGGAATTGTGTTTCGAGAAAATGATTATTCCTTGCTGTGACGGGTTCAGAGACTTTATAACAGGAACCATAGCGATGGGAGGACCAAGAGTAGTAGTAGCAGGGATATATAACCCACCACCATATGACAGAAGACCCAGGCAAGAGTATGACAGGAACTACAAGGTGGATAACATTGAGAGAGCAATCACCAATACCGATCTCATCTGCTCATCATGGGGGACTTCAATCACGGAAGGATAGACTGTGAAAACAATGAACCACATGGAGGTGAGGAAACATGGGGAGCTAAACTACTGAAAGTGGAGACAAGGAGCGTTTTAAGTCAGCACGTTAGGGATACTACAAAAGTGAAAGGCAACGATAAACCAGTGAGACTCGACCTAGTATTCACTCTGAACGACTCCGACATAAGGGAAATTGGTTATGAAGCCCTAGTGGGAATGAGTGATCAGAGTGTACTGATGTTTGAGTACCTGGTCGAAGTAGGGTTACGGTACTCAAAGAAAGGCCCAGAGCAAAAAAGGTCGGCATGTCGGAAAACCCGACACCATTTACTAATATTACAATACAATAGGCAGATAATATTGCTGCTGCCGTTGTATACACAAGTTAAAAAAAAAAAAAAAAAAAGTTAACCCATAAAAAATGTGGCTTGTAGTGGGATTTTCCGTCAATAGAAAACGGGATATCATTGCCACATAGTACTATAGATTCACCAGCTATTCTGTTGGGAATTATTCTTAAATACAGTAGTCTTTGGACTTATTACATCATAAAAACATCTCATTTGAATTAACTTAATTATTAGTATCATAAATAATGAGTAAAGGTGACCCTTCTACCACATATTGACATCTGAACAAAGTGAGCCGGGAGCGTCAGACGTGAAGGTGGTCAGCCATTGTTAAGACCATAGTGGCAGAGCAAATTAAGCTCCTATAATTCTCTTGGACGAAGTGTTATGGAGATCAAATTAGTGCTCTTCCATCAACGTCTTACCGAAACCCGTTTATCTAATCATTTCTGGCCGGTTAATGTTAAGTAGATATAGGGCGTACCGGTTAGGATGCCAATGAGCCACTAAATACAGGTAATTAAGCCTTGGTCCTTATCTAATAATATATAATGTTTCATCTGATATATCTGTCATATTTTAGGATTCCGGCTTTACAGCGAGTGCTCTTTGACAGGAACACGAAGAGGAAGCAAGAATTAATCTTGGTACATCAGGTACTTGGGTGATGGAAGCTATCCTCTCATGAGGATAATTTGGTGTCTACATCCTAGTTATACCTGGTGGACTAAGCCTACCATACAATAAGATAAGGCACCACCAATTTTATTAACTAATATATATAGTTTAATACTGTAGTTTGATTGGCTGCATATATATAAATTTAATATAAACCCCCCCTAATGTGTAAGGATCGATCTGTGAGAAATATTGCAGAAATACAGTCCGCTAAACATTATGCAAATTGCTATCGAAATATATAAATTAACGTAAATATAAATTTTATATAAATTCATATAAATTAAATAAATATTAATCTCACAGGTCAGTTCCCACACGGCATTCCGGAAGGGAAACTATATGAGGAGATAAGAAAATTTCTAACTTATGTAGCTTGGGGAAACAGAGCTCAGAGGAATGACGGCCCAAGACATGATTGACTACGTCATGCAGAAGTGTAAGGAGGCAACAGACAAGTTCGTCCCAGTCGAAAAGGAAAAAAATTAAATGGAGACAAGAACCCTTTCCTACAGCTTAATCAGAGCTATAAGAAAGCAAAGCAACGAAATATAAGGGCATGGATAAACTATAGAAATAAATGGACAAGAAAGAAGAGAGAAAGATACCACAGTCATGGGAATGAGTAGTACGTCAGGGTGAGATGAGAGAGAAAGAGAGAGAGAGAGAGCGAAAATATGAAAATGACATAGTAAGCAAATCATAAACTCAACCTAAATTGCTGCACAGCCACATCAGGAGAAAAACAACAATGAAGGAACAGGTAATGAAATTAAGGGTAGGGGCAGACAGATTAATTACAAACGACAGGGAGGTATGCGAAGAACTCAATAAGAATTTCCAGAAGGTCTTCACAGTAGAGCAAAGAGCAGTTTCAGAGATAAGAAAGGGAATATCAAACCAGACGCCACTAGAGGAGTTTGTGATTACCAGGGGAAGGTGAGGAAGCATCTGCTAGAATTGGATGTGACAAAGGCTATAGGCCCAGATGGAATCTCATCATGGATACTTAAGGAAGGAGCAGAAGTTCTATGCCTACCACCATCCATGGTGTACAAAAAATCACTGGTAACAGGTGAACTGCCAAGAATTTGGAAGATAATCAATGTAGTCCCATTATACAAGAGGGGTGATAGACAGGAGGCACTGAACTACAGGCCAGTGTTCCTAACTTGCATATCATGCAAGATGATGGAAAAGATTGTGAGAAAAAATCTAGTGGATCATCTGGAGCGAAAGAACTTTATAACACAACAGCAGCATGGGTTCAAGGATGGCATGTCCCGCCTCACAGGATTAATGGAATTCTACAAAAAAGCAACACAAATCAGGCAAGATGGAGAGGGCTGGGCAGACTGCATCTTTTTGGATTGCTAGAAAGCCTTTGACACAGTACCACATAAGAGACTAGTGCACAAGCTTGAGGTGCAGGCTGGAATGAAAGGGAAGGTACTCCACTGGATAAGGGAGTACCTAAGCAACAGACGACAGCTAGTCACTGTGAGGGGTGAGGTCTCAGATTGGCGAGGTGTCACAAGTGGAGTCCCCCAGAGTTAAATTCTTGGACCTATACTGTTGCTGATACATGTAAATGATCTCCCAGAGAGTATAGAATCGTTTCTCTCATTGTTTGCTGATGATGCAAAGAGTATGAAGAGGATTAAGACAGACGGAGATAATATAAGGCTACAAGATGACCTAGACAATCTGATTGATTGGTCCAATAAATGGCTACTAAAGTTTAACCCAAGTAAATGTAAGGTAATGAAACTAGGCAATGGAAACAGGAGGCCAGACCCAAGATACCGAATTGGAGAAGAAGTCCTTCATGAAACGGACAGAGAGAAAGACCTAGGAGTTGATACATAAAACCTGTCTCCTGAAGCCCAAATAACAAGAACAAAATTGGCTGCGTATGCGAGGCTGGCTAACATCAGAACAGCTATCAGGAACCTGTGCAAGGAATCATTCAGAACCTTGTACACCACATATGTAAGACCAATCCTGGAGTATGCACCCCCAGCATGGAGCCCGTACCTTGTCACGCATAAGAAGAAGCTGAAAAATGTTCAGAGGTATGCCACTAGGCTAGTCACAGAACTAAGAGGCATGAATTACGAAGAAAGGCTGCGAGAAATGCACCTCACAATACTGGAAGACAGAAGAGTAAGGGGAGACATGATGACTGTTACGAACCTTACCTCATGTGGAGGTTAGTTTCACTTATAAACTGTTGCTGGACACAGTGGACAATGTTTGACAAGAATATCCTGGCCGGGGAGGATTTACTGGGCGCAATTCCTTAACTGTAGCCT